ACTCGTCAGCATCTCAAAAATAATTTACATATCTGAAGTGGGTTCGTATTAATAACATTCTGGAATCCTATTTGTTCACATCACAGGGTATAACCCAGCTTTCTACAAATACGTTCCAGCTATACATTTCATTTATATATTTAAAAAATATATTTTAAAGGTATTTGAAATAGGTGTGACTATTTACACATGTCCTTAATGAAACATTTGTGTTTTCTTGTCAAATAACATGAGTATCACATGAGTGGCCGCCCGATAAAGTTTATACTAAAATACACAGTCACGAGTGAACATGTCAACCTTGTTATCACAAGTTGTTTGAAAAACATAATTTTTTCCAATGTTCTTTCTATGAAAAGCACTGTGTCATTGAGAGAGATTGAAAGTAGTTTCGACATTTCATTCGGGTAAGTTACGTTTATTCCACCTGAGTGGGATATCAATATTATTGTAAATCGTCAGATAAATACAACAATTCAGTATTTCCTAACTAAACACCAAGACAATTACTTATATAAAGAAAAACATTTACACTCAACAGTGGAGTACACCGGCTTGGTATTCAATATTATTTCCTTAATTGTCTGCATTTTCCACAATTTTATTAACATAAACACATATATGTGCTACATATATCCAAAATAATAGATCATGAATTTCACGGTCTATTCAAATGGCCTTTTTCAGCTTTCATAGAGACGACTATTTTTAAAAAAATAAAACAAAAAATAAAAATAAAGAAATAAAAAAGTATATCTATTGCCGTGTAATTTTAAACGTATGGTACAGTAAGTGTCGTGGAACACACTGATCACAAAACTCAACTAAATAAAGACATGTTCTTGGATTAGTCGCACAACTTTCATTAGTAAATAATGTGTATATCATGCCATTATTTATGTGCATCATGTTATGTAGTTTTCGTCACGTATTTGTATGTAGGTATTGAAAACAAACACAATTGTTTGATTAACGCGGGATGCCGAAATGTGCATAGATATCATGATGTTGGAGGAACGTGTGTAAACATGTGTAAAATGTCTGTATAGAAAGAGTTCCACAGAAGTTTAGAAAGCTGTTCCCAGAAATGTGTAGAAAGGTGTTTCTAGAAACCTGTGACCGCCTCCGTGGTGTAGTGGTTAGAGCGTCCGCCCGGAGTGCGGAAGGTCGCGGGTTCGATCCCCGACCGCGTCATACCAAAAGACGTTAACATATGGTACTTGTTGGTCCCTGCCTGGCGCTCGGCATTAATGGGTACAACAAGGACTGGTTGGCTCGGAGTCAGTATAATGTGTCTGAGTGGGGTATTCATGCTTCACTGCGGCATGGTATCTCAGTGGGCTAGCACTATAAAACCAGCCTCAGTCTGGGCTAGTACAAGCAGCCACACATACACATACACACGCATGCACGTCGTCATATGAGCGAAATATTCCCAAGCACGACGTTAAACCCAATTTCACCTCACCTCACCTCACCTAGAAACCTGTAGGAAGGGGCTCCAAAACATGTGTTTCTAGAAAATGTGGACAGATTCGGCAGTAATAACGGGTGTAGAAATAGGGAGTACGGAGAGTCTTATACCTTTGTTTTATATCGAACTATTTATGTCCACAACGTACTCCAACAATCCCTTGGGCTACACAAGGAGTTTAAAAGGATTTACGCTGAATTTAGCTCTATCGAACCCCGATGTAGGCTGCCCTCCACAACAGAGCAGTATTAAAATCATATGTGTAAAAGCTAAGGCAACATATCTTAGCCATAAAATGTATACTGTATTAATAATAAGTGAAAGACATTTCAATCCACTGTTTTATCCTCATATAATTACATAAAAATGATTGAGTACAAAAAAGTACTTGTAATACAGTAAAACGTTCCTTTCTCCAATATAACGTCACACATTTTCAATTTAAAATGTCCCATGTCTGGACTTGAAATAAAAAATCACTTCTGGCATCATAAAAATTAATCTGCAGCAACTTTCACACACACGTTGACAAAGACGGACCTTTTTAACGAAATGAATATGTGGGCAGTCTATTGTAACATGACACTCATCTTCAACTGGCTCTTGGCAGTTAACAGATGTTCCCTCTGCAATAGTTACACTGATGTACTGGTGTAAGCCTACATTTGTATGTCACTGAGGGACCCAAGAAGGATGAGAGAGCACAGTCTGTTGAGATGGGTTCATATATCCAGTTATTCACAAACCTAGAAACGTTTCCTTCCCTCTGTGTTTTCAAAATATAAAACAACAATGAACAAAGGGCGGAACCAACATAAACAGCTTGTCGGATATCGGATTTTAAGCCTTTTTCTGTGAAAACCACCGTCGTGGAGACAGCTGTATATGTTTTCAGAGAACTACATTAATATATTTATTATGATTAATTTGAAGTAAAATCCACGAAAGTGACAAATGTACGTATTAACACAGATATACAACACCCTTTGAACCGAGTTTTATCACTAAATTTCAAGAATACTTTGTCTATATACATGTACATAAGGGGTGTTAAACGATCTTACGTGAAAAAGTTGTAAGCTATCAACATTATATTTTCAGAACTTACCGCCAGAGTTTTTTACGTCAATTAAAGTTTATTGCGGCAGATTACAAAATTTTCCATGAATTGTCCCCGAAGCAAGTTTGGAAACATGTCATGAGAATATTAGGTTTTTCACTCAGACAACAAACAGTGATGAACAGATAACTTTCAACAAGGGAAGAAATAATAATGATTTATTTTCTATTGGTTAGCATCAGTTTAACATCTAACATGTAGTTTATTGCTCAAGCCTCCAAAGTTCTATTTTCACATACATGTAAGTGTCTTTCTAACACATATATTCAAAGTTATAAAACTATAATGTGAACATTTTTTATATTTTTTTATCATCTTTATTTCCACATTTTACATGGTACATGAAGAATGCATTCACATAAGTATATTCATACAGATATTCACATACAATATATCAAGTATATTCAATACACCCTCACAAATCCCCTTCATACAATGAATAGACGTCTTTGAATATGTTTTGTATATCTTATCTCAGTGATTCCAATACTAATAATAGTAATTAAATACATTTATTATGTGTTTTCTGACCTAGTATTTTCTGTAAATAGATTGTGGAAAGATGACCAGAAGGTAAAAAACTCACTGTTGCTGCATGTAGAATACGCATTATATTTTGTAGTTTCATAGTATTTTGATATCTCTCTTACTACATGCTTGAAATTTGGAACTTATTTTTTGTGTGTATATTACCTGTTTCACAACAAGATGATAATGTGAACATTGTCTGAGTTGACTAAATGGCGACGTGGACATTACGGCCTTTGAGTGAGTGATTAGATGTGGTTTTCAGCCGCTTTAGCAATAAAGAAATATTTTGAACTACTTCGACTGTAATGGAAAAATCGTATTGAACCATTTTGTCGTTTGAGTGAGTATAGATTAACGCCGCTTTAAACAATATTCCAGCAATATCACGGTGGGGGACACCAGAAATGGGCTTCACACACTGTGCCCATGTGTTGAATCGAACCTGGATCTTCAGCGTGACGAGCGAACGCTTTAACTACTAGGCTACCGCCACCGCTCGGATCGAATCGAATTGCGCACGCAACAAGTCACCTGTAACGGTACAGCACCTGAGCTGGATCCCGTTATAATGTCTGTAAGGTTAATAGAGAAGGCAATAGCTAAGAGGTCATGTCCCTATCAAACATACTGCACGTGGAAGAAGGATGCCACGTGATATTTAGCAATAAAGTGTGGATTCAATCCAGCAAATGACCGAAACACAACCTTGAATTAAAATATTAATGTTAGGAACTCGTCACAAAGTCTGGTACCCGATGTAACATCAGTAAACCTAACTGTCCAAGAAAATGAGAGTGTTATAAAATCGGAATATGACATATAGGAGAATGCTAATAGTTAGTCTTTATATGTGGGTAATACTTAAGTCTGTATATGTACATGTTAACATTCTAACACCTTCCAGCCAAGATGAAAACATGGGGAACCGCTTCACACACATGAACATGGAAACACGACTGTAACAGTGAGCACCACAAATGTTTCTGCCTCGATATCTCATGCACGGTGTCCCAGGATCATACCCCAAGCCAACCATTACAAAGTTTTTAATAAATGTCAGTTATATATCATCTGATTAAAGCGCCAGTAAAATCATTTCAAATGGCTTCACGCCATCACACCGGGTAGTCCTTGTAGAGTTGTCTCCCCTCTCATAATAGATCAATGTTGCCGTTTCCGATTATCAGCAGCAACGGACGTGACTGTGTGGCGCAGTCAGTGACGTATCTCCGGAAGCACTACGGCAAGCACAGAAAGTATGGGTCGGCAGATGATTGATTTTTCTACCTCTCATGTTTCTGTGCCACACACGGCTCAAATAGTCATAAATGCATAAAGACCAGTTGGTATCCCAACACTGTGTGAGAGAGTGAACAGTCTTTTCGTCATGTCTTAGCAATTGAGTGTTTAGGGTAGGTTCATCATGGGGAGACTATAGTAAGTCTATGCAACTTTCGTAAAATGGTCGATAGTTTGTAAGTGCGACAACAGCAAGTCTATGCTGAAGTATGTAAGTGTGACAACCGTAAGTCTGTGCTGAAGTATGTAAGTGTGACAACCGTAAGTCTGTGCTGAAGTATGTAAGTACGACTTCAGTACGTCTAGGTTAGGCATGTCAGCACGACTACAGTCAGTCTATGCTGAAGTATGTACGCGCGACTGCAGTAAGTCTATGCTGAAGTATGTAAGGGCGACTGCAGTAAGTCTATGCTGAAGTATGTAAGGGCGACTGCAGTAAGTCTATGCTGAAGTATGTAAGGGCGACTTCATTACGTCTAGGTTAGGCATGTTACTGTTAGCACGACTACAGTCAGTCTATGCTGAAGTATGTACGCGCGACTGCAGTAAGTCTATGCTGAAGTATGTACGCACGACTGCAGTAAGTCTATGCTGAAGTATGTAAGGGCGACTTCATTACGTCTATGGTAAGTGTAGAAGTACTACTACAGTAAGTCTATGCTGAAATATGTAAGACCAACTATCGTGAGTCTATGTATGTAAGTAGCGCTGAGATGGACCGGTCGACTTCAGCCGGACGTCAGCCGTTTCAGCTCCCTCCTGTAATAGTTCGGTGCATGTTTTCCATACAGACTATTCACCTTCTCCATATCAACATCAAGTGAATACATTATGGTTTTAAGACGTTCCACCATGGCATTCACATTAGACTTGAACCTCCGCAACTCGTCTGTCCGTGGACCTGGTTCATGGCCGACTTCCTCCAGGACTCCCTCCAGCTCCTTCAACATGATCCCCACCTTCATCCTCGAGTCGATCATGTTTAACCCAGACGATGGAGATGCTGATGACGCAAACACATACTTGTAGTGAAGATCCGTGATGTCCGATTTGCGAACCTTCTCAGCAAACTTCCCCAGCTCTTGTTCCATCTTCTCAACCTTCTGAACGCAATCCTCAATGTCTGACATTGAGGTGAATTTACGTTTCAACACCAATGGTTCCTTATTAAACGGCGAATAGTATTCGGCATATAGAGTGCAGTTACCGGAATAGGAACTGGCGTACGACCGAATAGCCTTGCTGCAGGATGCACCGAACACAGATACCTCACCTTCTGTTTCGGATGAAGCACTGCTTGAATCCTGCTCTGTATCCATTTGGACAGTAAGAGAGGCTTCACCTCCAATACAAATAGCATTGACATAGTATGTTGCTTTTCGGCAGATATCCTTCTTGCAACGATTTTCGTTCAACGCTGTGGGAGGCTGTAGTGAAAGAGTACCTTTCTGTATCCTGCAAATGCTTCTCACAGTGAGAGAGTTTTTGCTTCTGTTCGAAGTGTCGTGTTGACTGTAAGACCCTGAGGCCTCTGCGAGCCCCCAAAAGACCGATACCTTCACCGAAGCCTCCAGATCCCGTGAGTGACTGCTGAGGTCTCTTCCAGCTTCTCGTTGGTAGACACAATATAGATGTGGACTCTCAGCAAAATCCTGAAACAAATTTCATCAACAGTCAACGCCTCCGTCACTGTAAGGCAAAACTGATTTTGCATGTTTTCATGACAATGAATATTACCTTTTGTCAGATTAACATTTTTCATTCTTGTGTTCTAACCGCTTTCCCCTTGGGGGGTTCGAATCAGAATATGTTTCTGGTACTCTGTTCTTCACGTTTTATATTGATATTTGTGACATGGCTGAGTCTATTATTCCAGTCTGCCAGTTTTGAAATGGTGGTGTGTGAATAGTCGAGTTTGGACGACTTAAGCCACTGAAGGGCCACTGATCAATGTCCCAAATCTCAAAACTAAGGCGTCGAGGAAAGACTTAAGATAAGAGTCTGAAACATGATCTAAATAAATCCCTTTCTGACAAACCAAGGGGTGATGGGTGTTAAACTTAACCCGGGTCCCGGGTTCCAAGTCGGACAAGATCGGGAAACATTTACAGCCAAGAGGGACTACATCTGGTAACTATAATGACCAATATATCCTAGATCAGGTAACTATGGTGACAACGACATACTAGATCGGGTAACTATGGTGACAACGACTGACTAGATCGGGTAATGCTCGACAGGGTGCCAGCTCGACAGGGTAACGAAAGAGAGAAAGACAGACCGGAAGAGCATCTAAATTGACCCGTACAGCCTAGATCGAGTAACTAGTGACTGAGATCGGCAAGATCGATGAACTGTGGTAACTAAATCCGATGAACTATGGTGACAATAGTGTACATGGTACTTTCATTTGGGCCAACAGAGTATTCAGCTGCAGCCTGTAATTGGGTAAATACAAACAAACAATGAAGTCTTTAAATCATCGAGTCTGGACCTGACAATCCAGTGATCAACAACATGAACATCGATCTACGCAACTGGGATACGATGGCGTGTCAACCAAGTCAGGGAGCCTCACCACCCGATCCCGTTAGTAACCACTTACGACAAGCATGGGTTACTGAAGATCAATTCTAAGCCAGATCACCACGGGTTAGATGGACAGAAACTGAACGACGTTTTTGTCAAAAATGGCAACGACATGACGTGGCCAAGGGAACATTAGGTGTTACTTGACAGTTTAGAAAAAAACAAACATTTCCGAAGAAATTGAAAGGAGACACCGTGTTTCCTACACAACAAAATACTAGCTTAAATACAAATTGGTTTAAACCGTGTCTCGTGTTAATACTCTTACCTCCGAAACGGGGTTTTTGACCATCGGCACTCCATGTGGACAATCGCCAAGTTTCAAAGGTTGATAACGGAGTGGTGTGTCTTTATAAAGGACTTCCATCATTAAGCCTAAATAGAAAACAATGGTTGATCTTTTGTATTAAATGCCGTTAGGGTACCACTGCTTACCAAGGTCTGACTTACATCCACCATTCACCTGCTGGAGTCAAGAGTACTTGCATAAGCCATGTGACATAAATATTATGTGAGCGAGTGAGTGAGTGGGTTTGGGTTTACGCCGCTTTTAGCAATATTCCAGCAATATCACGGCGGGGGACACCAGAAATGGGCTTCACACATTATCCCCTTGTGGGGAATCGAACCCGGGCCTTCGGCGTGACGAGCGAACGCTTTAACCACTAGGCTACAGCACCGCCCATCTTGGTGACACATATACATTCCAAATCGTCCTGTCGAAGAGAAGTCTAATCACATCAATCATGTTTGGATTAACTACTGCTCATTGAGCTATGTATTTTATATGTGAACATTGTATCTGTTACAGTGAGTGGGTAAGTGAGTTTAGTTTAACGCCGCTTTTAGCAATATTCCAGCGATATCACGGCGGGGGACACCAGAAATGGGCTTCACACATTGAACCCGGGTCTTCGGCGTGACGAGCGAACGCTTTAACCACTAGCATACCCCACCGCCCCTGGTATCTGTTATAAAATTATCATGAACTACATACGTGCAAATATAAAGCTTGTGTATGAAGCAAGGGAGAATTGACTTAAACATTCAATATTGACCTTGGTGTTAGACAAGGCGGTAAACTATGCCTCTTTCTATTTTCATTCTTCATTGGGTAATTTGCATAACTACACACGATAACTGTGAAAATAAAATAAGTGCAATTAAATCCCAACTTCGTCAAAGTACTATTTGTTATCTATTTGCTGATGATATCGTATCGAGTACTATTTTTGGTTAGAAAAGCAAATAGGCCATATGGAGTGTTACTATGGTCAATTGAAACTAACTGTTAATCGTACATAGAAATGTTGTTTTCACAAACAAAAATGGTTTTAAAGAAGGTGACATTTCATAAACTGCATCAAGTTATATTATGCATGTAACTTGTCTCGGAATATCCATGCATCACAAGTATCCATTAAAGCAAAAACCACACTGTACAAGGGTTTGGAATATTCAAAAGTACAAACGTTCTGGGGAAATAATCGATAAATCAATTTCAGCAATACATTCTCTATCCTCTGTTAAAGGAGTTAATGTGGAACTATAATCAGTCATACTATATGGGGTGGAGGTAGAGGCCTAGCGTTTGTGCAAGATTTTAGATATCAAAAGATGTGTGTCTGTATGCTTGTAGACGGTCTTGGTACACATACACCAAATGCTATTGTATATAGTGAACGTGGATGGTATGCTATGTATATATACATGCTACTCCCATATTAAAATAATATAACGTTCGTTGCCAGTGTTGAATAATGTCACCCATGAGGTCGTGATATAAAATGATGACTGTTATTGGAAGATTTAAATCATAAAAAGATCATTAAAGATCATGAGATGAGTATATCTTTCTGCTTGTATGTCTATTCTATTCTCTGTTTAGAATTATAATAATAAATAATAATAATAGTGTATATTTATAACGCGCACATATCCACGCTCAGAAGCATGCTCTTGGCGCTACATAAGTACCTTAAAATAAATACATTATATATACAAAGCAAGAAAACTACAATGAATAGGTGCATAATACATAAACAATAAAAGCTATTGAGGATAATATTTAGCAAAGAGGTAGGTTTTGAGATTTGATTTAAAAGAGTCCAGAGATTCAGAATTCAGTGCATACTGTACATGTACTGTACACACCAAACTGCAAACTGTACATGCATGTAACGTTAGTTTATTACCCAGCAGTGGAAACTTAATAACAAAACTACACTTCAAAGCGACGTTTTTCTTCTCGGTTAATTTCGGTTTTATTTTGGGGTATTTAACACGACCGAACGACTTTATTGGCATCATATACGTAAGTGCTATATGTCTGTGTTCTCCTGAGTACTGAAGTAATAAAAGATGACACACAAGCACGTGTGCATTTCCCAGTGTAAGGATGTTCCTAAAGACACTGGGGCGGTGGGGTAGCCTAGTGGTAAAGCGTTTGCTCGTCACGCCGAAGACTCGGGTTCGATTCCCCACATGGGTACAATGTGTGAAGCCCATTTCAGGTGTCCCCCACAGTGATATCGCTGGAGCATTGCTAAAAGCGGCGTGTCATTGGCCAAAGCTACGTTTAACAGTGAGACTTAACTCAATACACGTAATGACTGCGTAAAACCATACTCACTAACGTCTAAAGACACACGATGAGACACGGCAACACTTTTTACAATAATATGTGACTTATTCTGAGGTTCTCGAAATATCGTTTAAAAATTATTTTACGGTACACCTACGGGGATTTCTTTTGACCCGGACAGAGCAACTTCTGGATCAACATGTCATTGTCCAAATCTACGTTTAACAGTGAGACTTAACCCAGTACACTGTCAATCCAAGCAAGAATGGTTAGTCAAAGGGAGATAAGTCAAGATTCATTTGATCCGAGAAATGCGGTCTTCATATTACATGTGAAAGTTTTCATTCCCCCTTACATAGGAACTCCCCATTCCTGTGACATATCAGAACAGTGTGTACGACTGCCAAACAGTGGAACAGATGGATAATGGACAGCAAACACGAATAATTAATCGTTTGGCAGAAAACATTACAGGGGCTCAAATGTTTTCTCACGTTCTGGGAGCTAAATCGGTCGTCTCTATATACATTTTAACATGTGCATTATAAAGTGTTGGTAAAGTCACCCCAGTTTCCATGTAGCGTGTACATAAAATATATACACAGATTTGATGAGTAAATCTAGTTTTGAGGACCTGTACATATTTACCTGCGCTCCTTTCTTGTCTTCCTTGTTTCGGTTTTAACAAGGGGAAGCAACTCTTTCATGCCTCGACGACTGACTCTGAACTAGGTCAAGATGACCCTGCAAACTATGCATTGAATCTAACCCAATACAACTGCAGTTATCTTGTTTTCGTAATCTTTCGTAATAAGGGACCGTTCATAATTTATGGCCGGTGGGGGGTTGGGGTTGGGGTTGATGATTTTAAGGGGGGTCACCCATTTTGTTCTCAGGAGGTAGGGGTCATCAATTTTGTACACATGTTTCTAGGGGGTGTCAGCAATTTTGTATATCAAAATATTTTAAAATTAATTTAAATATTGGAAGGGAGAGGGGGGTCATTGATCTTGTACATGACATGCAGGGAGGTTCACTTACTTTGTACATAAATTTTAGGGGGGGGGGGTCATTCACATTGTACATGCTTCTTCATAAAAATCATCATCACCCCCCTGGCTAAAATATAAATGGTCCCTAATATCATGGAACATATGTGCGATAGTTGATTAAATAGACAGGAGAGGCGGGCTGGTAAAAGATATAGAAGACCTTCTTTCGTATTATCTTTTTTTCCATTCTGGCTCATTACTAAAGCCTCCTAATGTTCCACTTGATGTTCAGATGGGTTATGGTATATCGTGAACACGGCTGATATCCTATGTGTATAGTTACTACCATATCAACTCAACAAAATGTTGGCTTCGAATTTAAAACTATCCCCCATGAGGATGCGTTATGAATTGATTTCTTTTGTTATTGGAAGATTTAAATGGAAGGCGAAATTCGGTTTCAGATGAAATATAATTTTTTTTTTATTTATATGTGACTATGACAAAGTATTGGATAAACAATACGAAAATTGTTTTGCTCATTTTAAAAATAAACTGACTGACTGAGTTTAGTTTTACGCCGCTTTGAGCAATATTCCAGCAATATTACGGCGGGGGATACCAGAAATGGGCTTCACACATTGTGCCCATGTGGGGAATCGAACCCGGGTCTTCGGCGTGACGAGCGAACGCTTTAACCACTAGGCTACCCCATCGCCCCTTTAAAATAGAGGATATGTACTTGTAACACCGGTGTCAATCTTAATCTTAATCCTGTGACCTTTTGCATAATATGTAATGTTAAAAACATAATATTTATCATTCATTGATATATATTATAAAATATTTATACATGCTCTATAGAAAGTTGCTCCTCTCGTGGTCTTTTAATTGAAAGTGTACGATATACTAAGATGCCAAGGAAATACGAGTTCAAATCTACTGTCACATTAATAAATAACGAGTTGACTATAATTCTTTGCTTATATGCCTATTCTGTTCTCAGTTAAGGATTTAGTGAATATTATCTAAACATACTGTACATTAAATCAAATATATGAACTGTACAGACAGCAATGGACATGCCGGTAACATTAGTCTGTTACTCATCATTGGAAAGTGGAAGCCTAATAGAAAACATATACGTGATACAGACGTTCGATTCCCCACATGGGTACAATGTGTGAAGCCCATAACTGCCCCCACCCCCACCTCCATCCCCACCCCCACCTCAGTCCCCGGTGATATTTCTGGGATATTACTAAGAGTGGCATAAATCCATTACCACTCATTGCAAACAAAGGGTTCAATACGATTTTCATTACAGTCGATGTGGTTCAGAATATTTCTTGAATATTGTTAAAACTCAGAATGGTTTTGATTTTTGCTATGAAATATTTCCATGTTATCGGTGTCAAGTTTCGTTTGTACATCGGTTTGCATATAGATACGATAGGCCATGATCTCCTGAGTACTGAAAAAGAGAACATTGCACATTTTCCACTTTCCAGCACACTGTATATATCCTGTAAAACACTGTATATACCGGTATCCTGTAAACACTGTATATATGTATATCAACACTGCATATGTTTCCCCAATGTCAAGCTTCCACTGTAACTTGTACATCCCCATTATGTTATAACATGTTCAACTGTATTTAGGGAGAAGGCGGCCATAAGTGGTGCACCTGTGCCTAATCCCGTTGTCTTTTGGACAATAAAATATGTTTAAACTAAACTAAAAGAGAACCTACTCTCAATCATGTGTATAAATTGCAGTGAAAGGAGTTTGTAAGACACATGTCAAGCCATGTGGTTGACCATTGAAACTCTCGTGAAAACGGGTGAACATGAAGTGTGGAAACCCCAGACATGCAGTGGAACAGATCGATAATGGACAACAGACACGGATAATTAATCCTGAAAACATTCCAGGAGGTCAAATGTTTTCTAACGTTTAGGGGAGCTACATGGACCGTCGCTATATACATTATCTGTCTATTATAAAGTGTTGGTTCAGTGACCCTAGTTACCATCTAGTGTGTACATATGGAATGCACAGATTTGATGAGTAAATCTAATTTTGAGGACCTGTACACATGTACATATTTACCTGCGCAATTACTTGTCTTCCTTGTTTCGGTTTTAACAAGGGGAAGCAACTCTTTTATGCCTTGACGAATGTGTTAGTCGCTGCACTGGCGTACGTTTAGTTGACTGACTGACAACTCTGAGCTAGGTCGCGACAAAATACCGTCCTGTGCACTGTTCATTGAATTAACACAGTGCATCTAAATTTATGCTTTCGTAGTAATCGAAAATTATAGTTTTTTTAAAATGTCAGACATACTTGCAACAATAGATTAAAGAGTAGAGGATTGCTGTTAAAAGATATGTCAGATTTCCTTCCTATTATCTAATTCCTTTCTGGGTCATAAATAAAGCTTCTTCTTGCTTCACTCGACGTTCAGGTGGCTTTTTACAATCGTGTCACTCAAGAGGATGTTTCGTGCTTTTGCTTACATTCGTGTGTCTTTTGTGTGGTGAGGTTAGATGAGATGAGTGAGTGAGTGAGTTTACTTTTTACGCCGCACACAGCAATATTCCAGCTATATGGCGGCGGTCTGTAAATAATCGAGTCTGGACCAGACAGTCCTGTGATCAACAGCATGAGCATCGATCTGATCATCTGATGAACCGATGACATGTGTCAACCAAGCCAGCGAGCCTGACCACCCGATCCCTCTTAGGACAAGCATGAGTTACTGAAGGTTCATTCTAGCCCGGACCATCACGGTTTACATGAGATGAGGTGAGGTAGGGGAATGAGATGACACGAGCTGAAACGAGGGGAGGCGAGGGGAGGCAATTCTAGGAGAGCTGAGGTGACGTCACGTACAAGGTTACCTCAACCATACAACGGTGGTAGATCCGGTCAGTCCTGGGTAAATTGTGCTGTAGCCCAAGGTACCTTGCTACAGTTACGCCACTAAGACAAAGCAATGCCAGGGTTCACTTTGTATTCGTCCATTCGTCATTCAAAGTCAGCACAATTGCGCATTGGATCTAATATGTACAGTCGAATTCACTAATTAAGATTTCAATAACAAATAGTGAGTGAGTGAGTTCAGTTTTACGCCGCACTCAGCAATATTCCAGCTATATGGCGGCGGTCTGTAAATATTCGAGCCTGGACCAGACAATCCAGTGATCAACAGCATGAGCATCGATCTGCGCAGTTGGAAACCGATGACATGTGTCATCCCAGTCTGACCACCCGATCCCGTTAGTCGCCTCTTACGACAAGCATGGGTTACTGAAGGTTCATTCTTACCCGGACCTTCACGGGAGACAAGCATGGGTTACTGAAGGTTCATTCTTACCTGGACCTTCACGGGTCTCAATAACAAATAAACACACCAACAATTATATAAAAAGGTAGATGTAGAACTATTATGACAACGTTGTGCCAATAATTGTCAAACAAACCCAGTGAGGAGTCATTTCTTTAATGAAAGGGTGGTCAGACACGGTGCCTTACTTTGGGTCATTATTAAGATTATTAAGATTCGATTTTTCACAGGTCTGTTACATTGGCGAGAGTGACATTAAGCAACAACCACACCTGTGTTGGTGATGAGCATATATACTCTTCAGTGAAAATTACATTGAGATGGCATTTACTACAATCCAAAAGACACAGGCACACGGAACATACTTGGATTTCGAACCAAAGAGGGTACCGACATGTGAAAACGCCTGCGGTAAACGTATTTTGATATTTGATTTTTACGCCGCTTTGAACAGTCAGGTTAATCGTGTGTGTGTGTGTGTGTGTGTGTGCGCGTGCGTGCGTGCGTGCGTGTGTGCGTGCGTGCGTGCGTGCGTGCGTGCGTGCGTGCGTGTGTGTGTGTGTGTTTGTCGGCTGGGTACTTTAGTGGTTGAAGCGTTGGCGTGAAGAAGATCCGGATACCCCTACTGGTATGATGTGAGGAGTTTCATTTGAACACTTGAAGGCAGAGGAAAGCTTGATATCCTGCCGTAAAGAGGTCTATAAGTGGTGCAAATCAGATCTAAACTGTTGTAGGCTGAAGCACGGGGTTGGAGTTTGTGAGAAGCTTTGGGGCTTTGACCCTTCATTGCCTAGTCCATCAAATGGGAAGGGCCAGAGCATGGTAAAATCTCCTTCAGAGTTGCTTCCCCTGCTGGTACTGTTATTCCCATAACCACAGATTCAATTTACTTCCCATTGATGTAATAATTGCTAGTTGTTTGCCAAGGAAGTGGGCATTAGTTGACACAGGAAACATCATTGTGTTTCCTGAAACATGCAAAGCAAAATGTCGCTATTGTGATGTGTATTGTGTCAAATACTAGGTCATCTCACGTTACAACAATGATGGCCATTTTCGGAACATAATACATCCGACCTGCATCATAATTAAATTACATTTGTGACGTCATTCCATTGTCTGCTCGCTCCATTACTTTTCAGGAATGGAGCGATGTGTACAAGCTTCAAATTAAAAACTTCATTTTGTCATTTTGACATATAACTTTGATAACAGAAATATTCCCAATACTTTGAATGTAATTTAAGTAGGGCAATATCCTCGTAACTCTCCATTCCTTCAAAACAATGTGCCTCGGCCCCTCCGGGGCCTCGGCTCCATTATTTTTAAGGAATGGAGAGT